GAGATCATCAGCAAAAAATAAATGGTAAAGGGTAGGACCACGCTTACCAGCCTTATAGCCTTTCTATTTTCCAACATCTGTATCCTTGACAAGCTTCATCAATAGATATTCCATACACAATATAAACAAATAGGGGGAGATGGGATCACCTTGTCGAAGGCCTCTAGAAGGAAGAAAAGCCTTTGTCTTATCGCCATTAACAAGAATTGAGAAAGAGGAGGAAGAGATGCAACTCATCACAAGAGAGATAAACAGAGGAGGAAATTTGAAGAAAATGAGGGTTTCTCTAATGAAACTCCATTCAATCCTATCATAAGCTTTTTCCAAATCAAGCTTAATAATCATGTCTCTCGTCTTTCCTTTCCTTTTAGAAAAGGACTAGACAAGTTTTTACAGAATAAGAACATTATCTATACCTTTTCTTCCAAGGATAAAACTAGCCTAACAAGGAGCAATAATATCATCTAGCATAGGTTTCATCCTATTAACAAGGATCTTAGAGATAACCTTGTAAGTAGTATTACAAAGGCTAATAGGACGAAATTACTTTACAGTTTCAAGGCTCTTAGTTTTGGGAATAAGAGTGACAAGGCACTCATTCCACTCAGAAGGCACACAAGCAGAGGCAAAAACTTTGCGAATGTCCTAACAAAGATTATCCTTGACAGAGTTCCACATTTTTTGAAAAAAAATAGGGTGTAAGCCATCAGGACCTGGGGCTTTAAATGGCTTCAACCCCAATAGAGCATCATGAATTTCCTCATCTGTAGGGGGCTATCCAGGCAAGAGAAATCAATATGATCAAGAGTAGAGATCCCCAAGGTAGAAAACGAATCATGATATGAGCATTCTAATGAAGAGGTGAAAAGGTCCAGAAAATAATCTCTAATGAGATTAGTGATAGCAAGTTGGTCACTAACCCAAACATCACCAAAAGTTCTAAGGCCATAGATGCGGTTGTGATGGCGATGCCTGATGGTAGAAAGGTGAAAAAATTTTGAGTTACGATCCCCATCAATAATCCAATTAGTTTTGGACTTCATAAACCATAAATCTTGCTCCAGTTTGAGAATATGTTCATACTCCTTAACCAAGTCCTTCTCAAGGCTAGATAGAAAATTAGAATGCTTGACAGAGAGTGCCTTATGAATGCCTTCTAGCCTGGCATTAAGCTTTCTCTTTTTATTGAAGATATTGTCAAAGGTACATTTACTCCATATTTGCATAAAGGTTGGGTAGCTTGGATGCACTGAGAGGTAAAGGAATCACAATTGGACCAAATAAGGGTGATGATTTCTTTGAATTCAGGGTGGTCCAACCAGAATTTCTCAAGGCGAAAAGGTCTGGCTCCACTTCTATTTAGCGAAACATCAAGTTGAAGAAGAAGGGAATTGTGGTCCAAGCTAATACGAGGGAGATGATAGACATTAGCATCGAGAAATAAGAGGCACCAATCTAGGCTAGCCCAAGCTCTATCAATACGTTCTCTAATAACCTGGTTATTTTCCCTCATATTAATCTAGTTGAACTTACCTTCAATATAACCAATGTCCATGAGGTTACAATCACTCATGCAATTAGTATAAGCACGAACTCGATATTGACAGATAGGGGCACCACCAAATTTTCTAGTTTGATCCACCACATCATTAAAATCCCCAATAACTAACCAAAGACTAGTAAAGTGATTTGCAACAACACGCAATTCCTCCCATAATTGGGAATGCAATTCAAATTGAGGTCTTCCATAGACCCCAGAAAAGAACCAATGAAAATTAGAAAATAAAGGATGAGAGCATACCTTTACAATAGCATGGATGGCTCGGTGAGATACTAAACATAATAGTTGTGAATTCATTCATTGTACTTAAAGGTAATAAAACTTGTGACTTACTTAATATGGTAGTAGTGAATTCGGTCATTGTGAATTTGGTTGTTGTACTTGGAGTTTACCTTCTAAACTTTAACAATATAATTGAGTTAAACTTTGACAATATAATTGAGTTAAGGAAAACTTTCGTTTCTTTTACCTTTAAAAAGTTAACTACTTCACCATTGCAAAGGTTTAAATAGTTTTAAAGTAAATGTGTTTTCTAATCATCTCTCACTTTGTGCACAAATTTGTGAGACAACTCACAAAGACAAAAAGTTATCCACCACCCGAAACTTCACATAGCTAAGGTAATTATGTACATGTTGGGTGAGGAGTGGTGTCTTACATTGAAAAGGTGTTATGTGAACATATATTCTTTTTAGGAAAATGATTGATATACCTTACAAAGTTACAAATTTTGTTACATATTGACGATTTCCATTATTTTTGCCATTAAAGTTAATGGTTTTCGTTACTTATGTTTGTTAAAATTGACGGTTTCCAGTACTTACACCGTTAAAATTAACGATTTTCATTACACACTAATGGTTTTCATCAATGTGTAACGGAGTGTGTATCTTTGTAGGATATATATGCCATTGTCCTTCTTTTTATTTAGTAGATTAAAGTATTGAATGTTTTGTGTTGCTGTTTGAATTGTCTTAGATTGTAAATTTAGAATTTTTGAATAAGAGAGGAAGGCTCAATATTAAAGGATTCTAAGATTAGAATGTCTTCAAAATAAGTTAAAAATATGTGTGAGGACACTTATAAATCTAATAAATTAATTTTTTTTAAGTTTAAAATAAGGAGAAAATTTTTATCAATCGTATATGTAAAAAATTTGATAAAAAATCTAAAAATTATATTGTTTTAATTAATTTTTATTAAAAAAACTAAAATATTCTACTTTTTAAAATATGAATAAAATTATTTTAGTATTTTTTTTGTAGTACTTTATTAAAATAATATAATTTTTAGTTTTACATTTAATTTTTTAAAAATTCAACTGATAAACACTAATTTTATATATAATGTTTTAAATATATGTATGGAGTTTTATTCAAGCTCCTACTAGTTTGTTCACCCAACAACAAAAGCTGTAAAGCTACCAATAACATGACCACATACGATAGTAATCACAATCTTAAAAAAAAAAAAAAAAAAAAAAAAAAAAAAAAAAAAAAGAGCGAATCATGCTAGCCCTTTGCCATCTAGAGGTAAAATTTTTTACTTTTTTGGTATAGTTGCGAATCTAATCACAGTACTTTGGGTTTAACCTCCAAGCACTTAGTGAGCCTCCTTGTCATTATATATATATATTTATATATATATATATTCACAAGAAAAGGGCCATGACAACCTGGTATCAAATTCAAGAAAAAGGAAAATACAACCACTAACAGATTTTAGCTAGAATAATGGTTGAACAAGTCCCTCATGTTACAATTTTCACAAGTAATATGTCCCAAATAAAAACTCTGATGGCAAATTCACCACTAAACTTACAAAGAGTAACAAATCTCCCTAAAGTAGATGAAAAACGTTAGTCAACGTTAGCAAACATTAGTAAACTCATTGCCCCACGTCAAATAAATTTACGCTAACGTTAACTAATATTTTCCATCAATTCTGAGGATATTTGTTTCCTGTTTATAAGCTTAAGGACAAATTTGCCACAAATTAAAGTTCTATGAGAGGCTTGTTTATTGGTGAAAAAATGTTTTATAAAGTTAGTACCAAAAAAGGAAAAATGTTTAAAGTACTTTTCCTAGATTTTATCCCGTTGTGCCTTTGAAGCTCTTTACGGAGGTGTCTCTTATAAGCAAATATATGCCTATCACTTTCTATAGGAAAATAATTGTTACATCTAGTTAATACACTTTTTTATATTCATTTAATTTAGTTATTAAAATATAATATAAATATAATCAATTTTTATATCTTATATATAGTTATATTTTTTAATTAATTTATTTTTAATTTTAAACTAAATAATAATAATTTTTTTATTTGTATTTGTTTTAAATTAATTATTATTTTTTATTTTTAAAAATCGATCGATTTTTTATTTAAATTTATTATTATTTATTTATTTTAATTAATTATTTTATTAAAAAATTATTTTTTTAAATTTCTTTTAAAAAATAATATAATTATAATTTATTATTATATAATTTAATTTATAAAAAAATATAAAATATAAAATTTTGAAAAAAAATGTAAGATAAAAATATGATAAATAATTATATTAAAAGGGTGTATGGTATTAACTATTTAGAATTTTACAGTAACTCACCTGTTTTTGTCACCTATTTTTATTTAAATTTATTATTATATAATTTAATTTATAAAAAAATATAAAATATAAAATTTTGAAAAAAAATATAAGATAAAAATATGATAAA